CTCTATCCACGGTTCAACTCTATGAACCTCCCATGGGTCTTTTATAGAGATTACTTTCCTCGGACTCACTATGTCATTGCATTGACATATCTCATTTCCCTAAGGTGTCCTTCTCACTTGGTTACCTTGACCAAGCCACACCATCATCAATAGTTCCAATCATCTCGGACTCCACTTCGGGTCCATCTCGGACACTTCCACGTGTCATGTGTTGGTCTTTTTGGGTCCCTTTTTGGAGCCTCACTTATTGCTCGCTTCATGCTCGTTCCTTGAGCACTCCATTGGGAGTTCCACTCCCGCTCTCAACCTCTCAAGTCGGAGCCTTTTAGTCCAAACGTGTTACGCTCGTTTGGGCTTTTGCTTCGGCCACTACCACGTGGCACCCTTTCGGCTCCACACACTAACCTTGGCACCTTAACAGGTTTGCCCATAGGTACTAGGTCTTCTAGACTTTTAAGTTGTTGACCATGACCCCGAGGGCATCCCCCACACTTGGCAGTGTGCCCAAGCTAGCCCTTCTGGCCAAGGGTCCATAGCAACTGAGACTGGGTATCCCCATCTCATTCACCACGTCCTTGGTGCCACTCGCACCAAAGCATTCAAGTTAGATATGCCAAGCCATACTAAGCAATCTAACCATGTATCACGACTCCGGAGCATCCCCCGCTTGGCGGTGTGCCCAAGCCAGTCTCCTTACTGAGAGTCCATGACTGTAGCGCATGTGATCATGGGATGAGATTTGGATATACTGTCACCGTGGATCCTTGGAACCTTGGGGGATAAATAGGGATAAAATAGCCACTAAGGGCTCTTTCATCAAGCAATTGCCCCTTTTCCAGTTGGCTTAAGGGGAGAGAGATAAGGTGTGCTACAGTTGGTATTGGAGCAAATGGCACGGGTTCGATTCCCATTGATTAGTGGCTACTTAAAAAGTATAATATACCCTTGAGCAAGGTATATTCCTACCCCTAAAATTTGAAATCGTACATATTGGGCATCCATGCGTATGTCCTTCCTCTTGTGTGGAGTATCTACAGACGAAGGTATCCACCGTGGGACTGCAGTACGAGTGGATGACTAGTTGCCTCACATGGAATAGCTAGTCTACACAATGGAAGGATTGGTAGATTGAGTGCGGAAATGGCTCAGTAGGGGTTGCTAGTCAATAGTCTCTGAAGGGGGGGTGAGTGTAGCGCATGTGATCATGGGATGAGATTTGGATATACTGTCACCGTGGATCCTTAGAACCTTGGGGGATAAATGGGGATAAAATAGCCACTAAGGGCTCTTTCATCAAGCAATTACCCCTTTTCCAGTTAGCTTAAGGGGAGAGAGATAAGGTGTGCTACAATGACCACCGAATTTTCCAGTTGGCTTAAGGGGAGAGAGATAAGGTGTGCTACAATGACCACCGAAATATGAGTGTCCTCATATTCCAAACCATCACCACGCCCTAGTGATTCGGGACTTGAACCCAAGCACTAGAGGGTCGGGACTCGAACCCAACCTCCGTATATGCATCTACGGACGGCATCACCTAGGATGCCTGGTGCGACTCATCATGCCGGTGCACCAACTTATACTTAAAGCGCGCTACAGATCACAGCTTAGGAACCTAGTTCCTCCACACTACCAAGTCCTCTCACTTGACAAATCTATGATCATGCATGGACTCCTCCATGCTTGGCCCCATAGCCCACCCTTTTTGAAGTTATCACCTTCAACTAGGGTATTTGTTCTCCTGACTTGCCAATCTTGCTTGGCCAGTCCTCTGACCTTTGTAACATGGTTCCTGCATAAGCGTGAAAGTCCTTAACCATCGACTTTCATTCAAAGCCCTCTTTTTGAACACTCGGGAACTACTTCCCTAACCTTGATAGCCTTGCCTCATGGCAAGCTTCAAGACCACACTTCTGCTGTGCCATTCTGATTTCGCACGTTCCATGAACCATTTACACTTGGCCTTTCTAGGTACTAAACTACCTAGAATCGTCTTTGGGAACTTTGAAGGAACTCTATTCCTTAGCTTGCTAAGGACTCCCTTTTCACAAGTTTTATAGTTGTCATATAGTCTAACATGGACAATTCCATATTTTAGACTCCCCATGGCATCACGGTTGCTAGCAACAACATCCTCGAGCACCATCTTGATTCTCCACTCCTAACTTGCATAATCATCGTTGGATATGCCCTTCGATTTCTATGGTTCAGTTCCATCCCAATACTACTTACCTTTTGGCCCCATATGTTTCCTTTGGTTATTCTCCTCCAGACTAGGAGGATAGCTTTGCACATTTTGCTATGCCTTAGCAAGTATTCTTAGGGATGAACCTACCCGATAGCCTAGGGAGTGGTTCCTCAATCTTGGGCATGCTCACCTTATAATCCCACACATCGGGATTAATGCTGCTACTTATGGGCCTTTACATGCCCATCACTAGCCTTGCCAAAATTCTATTTTTGGCTTTGTTTAATTCGGGTAGACAGTCTTCTCCTGTCTCCACAACCTTGGACATTTGGATAACACCTACTATCCATCATTTGCTAGGGACTTAGTCCCTTGGGCTTTATCTATTGCCCTTGCAACACGAAACACCATCTCCTGGTGTCCTAGAGTGTTTAGGTGTCCCAATGATGGCCTCATGACAATGAGCATTCCCGTTTACGACATTGACTTATTACATCGCAACATAAGCAATTTATCCCCCGTAAGGGTATATCTAACTTCCTTTTGTCATTAAGAAGTCTTGGGTAGTTACCTTCTACCCATTTAACCAATTATCTTGCACCTCTGGTTTAGTTGCCCCATAGTTGTCAAGTCCTACAACTCATTGCTTAGTGCTTCCACACCTCCATCATTATCTAGGTCACCACACTCCAACCGCATGCCTTCCAGCTTAGGCCATGCCATTCCTGCTTTCGTTGGGATTCCTTTGGCAAGGGGTTCTTATGAACCCACCGTCATAACCTCAAGGTATCACACTTTGGCACATTTAGTGTCTCCACACCATTGGCCCCACGAGCCTACCCTTATGACACTACTTATTAGTGTCTAGGTCTTTGCCAAGACTAATATAGTTGTTCCTCATGTTAACTATCCGTTAGCACCACACTATAGTGTTTGCACCCAACTCTGGGCCAAAGTTACTTCCTTCTGGGAACATCTTTCCCACAACTTTAGTATGGCACATTCTGCCATCATTGAGATACCTACTGTTCTCATACTTGGATCTTATGATCCTCCCCATACCTCATGGGGCACTATACACGTCAGTCCAAATGCTCCAACCAATCCCTTAGGACCATTCCCTGACTCCGCTTGAGTCATCCAGCATTTTGGACATTGCTAATCCAACAACTTGCGAGGTCTCAGTTTTAGAGGTGCCAACTCACTGGAATACAACTTCTTGTATTCATGTCCTACTCACAAGGACAATCTTTGCAATTGTTACTCTGACACTTGATGATTTTCTTCGAGGCTAACCTTTGCCCCTTAGGACTACTTGTCCATGTGATGAGAATAGCAACTCATCTTTAAGTACACCCCCAACTCCTTGGGTTGTTCTAGCATTTATTAGAGGTAGCCCCGCCTACCATTTCAAGGATTGATGTCCTCTTCTATATTTGACCTCCCACGGTCAACAATTCTGGTCTCAAATTTATGAGTACCAGCCTCAACTATATAAGGGTTATCTTGTGACTCCTTTATTGTTTTGGAGTCTGCATTTTTCCCGTGATCCCAACTATAGTTGTTTACCATAACTACATTAGCTCATTTGCTGCATCAAACACTCATCTGGATCACATCCTCAACTCTCTGAGGAAACCCTTATACTGTTCCCAAGATCCCAAAGTCGTTCCCTTACTAGCCCTCTTCCATCCACCACATCATGCACAAGTTCACGCATGAACTTGAGTGGAGAGCCATGTCCTCTCGACATGCTACTCCTCGAGGATAGGTCCATATCTAGGACCTTCCAACTCCAATACAAGTGGTGATATGCTTGGCCACCAATAAGAGTCGGACTAAGGAACAACTCCGATACCAAGCTGTAAGTGACTAAATTTTCCATTTTACTTTAGTCACTTAACCACACCTCCAACCACTTAGAGGAGTCTCACTCACAACCTCCACGAGTCCTATTTCAGACTTGGGCTTGCTAGCCCCGAGAATGGCATCCCCGCCATTCAACTTTTGCACTTGGTCCAAGTGCTCCACGTGTCCGATCCCATGACCGACACCCCAAGGTACCACCGACATATTAGCCCGTTACGCTAAGGCCATGCCCCTTTACCTTGATCACACCAGTGGTCTAACACCACCTGCATCACAGTCCCCTCTCTCAAGGACTGGGACATCCGTCCATGAGTGATCATTCCAGGTCCACTCCTTAGCATCCTTAGGATGCCCATAGACATGGGGAATAGCCTTCCCCAATATCCCTTTTCTGGTCTTCATCAAGTCCCTTTCTGCCCATGGCCGTGTTCGCCAACACTGCCACTGGATCGAGGCCCACAGGCCTGACCACTAAGTCCTACGGTCCTCTGGGATTTCCTAACCACTCGACTGCATCCTTGGTCTCTACACCAGAGGACTACTCCTCTTCCTTTCCACAGTTTGGGCCTTTGGGACAACATTTCGGAACACCGTGGCCCTACGCGGGCCTCATGGTATTCTCCCCACCTTCCGCCTTTGGGTGCTCTAGCCATGGGCTTAGAGTGAGGTTCCATTGAGCCACACCAGGTATTCAAGTAGGTAGTGCCACCCACACTTGGACTGGGAGCATCGGCCAGTCGATCTCCCGGGGGAACTAGAGCCGACTCTTGAACACTTCACCAAGCTACCCCGCTTGTCGGTCCGTATTCACTCTAGTCTTGGACTTCCCGGTGGTCAATTCATCACCCAACACTGGGTATGGCCTTCCTGGGCCAAACTGGCCTTTCCTGGGCCAAACTGGCCTTTCCTGGCCAAACTGGCTCCACTGGGCTCCAATGTCCTATCATATGCCTCGTCGAACCTGAACGGCTTTCGTCACTTGGCTTTGCACAGCCGGGAAGTTCTCTTCGTTGAGTGTTCTCCCGTCTTCGTAAAAAGCATCATAGTAAAAACCCTACACAAGAAAATGTTGCAACTATACCGATCAAATTCACTAAAACAGTACCTCTCCCCTTGTCGTGCAGGGACCAATGCAGAGCTTGCAACCATACGCTTGTTCTAAAGACTGGAAACTTACAGCACGTTAAATTCTTCCCCTCGAATGAAGAAAAAAAGAAAATGTAGTACCTCGCCAAGGATATGAGCACTCGAGTGCCAGAAAGTATCACGACCCTGCTCGTCCTTAAACGCGTAAAGAACAAGCGTGCAATCAAAGGTAACAGTACCTGCGCAATAACATAATCAGCAGCCTTCTTCTTCGAGATTAGCCTGGCAATGTCCAGTGGAGTCGTGAGAAGCCTTCTTCCGGGGTACACCACTTCCCCATCCTTGCACACAGTCACACTGGACGAGAAAAATGTTGGCTACAAGCAAGAGATAAATCCGGCCTACTCGATCGGCTGGCCTCCGAGTTCCTCGTTGCGCGCGCGCTCCGACGCCTGTAGCTCGCTGAAGATGCGAATGCGCTTCTGGATCACCACCGGATCCGCCATGGCGGAGGTAGCAAAAACCCTAACCCTGAAGTTTCCAAAACCCTTAATTGCTTTCAGCATAACTTTAACTACAAAAAGGTAACTTTATTATGTTTGGAAGAATTCAAAAGTGCTTCATATAAAGCGACACCTCTGTTTCTTTAATCAAAATGAGTATTTGGGTTTTTTTCCTTTCTTTAATAATGTTCTCTAATTATGTAAATTGTGATGTAAATTGGGACGCTCTAACACTTATAAATTATATACAGCTAGAAGATATTCACAAAATTGCTTATTATTTTAATAAAATGCTAGATGATAAAATAGATATCACACGCAATTACTATGGTGCTCATGCTTGGACAATTACTCAAGCGCTTTCATTTGGTAGATCAGTTGAGCTTAGTCTTTGGATATATTGTAGAAAACCTGATGGTA